CCGGGCCGAGAAGATGGGGAACACCACCTCCTGCTGCGTCTCCTCCAGCCCCAAGCTGCGCAGGAATGCCCACTCCCGGCTGGAGTCCTACCGCCCCGAGGCCGAGCTGAGCCGGGAGGACACGGGCTGCAACCTGCAGCACATCAGCGACCGGGAGAACATCGACGGTGAGGGCGGGCGGGCGGGATGGGGCGCCCCCGCTGCCCCCGCTTCCCTTCCCCCCCCCCAACCCCGCTCTGCCCCGCGGGTGGGGCCGGTCCGGGGACACCGGGCCCGGTTCGGTGCCCTGTGGGGCTCCCGGGGGTGTCGCGGTCCGTCCTGGCGGGGTTTGACCTCCAGAGCCGATCCCGTCCCCGGGGGGAGGCGTGCGGGACCCTCCCGGGCAGGGCTGGGAGCATCCTCCCGGTCACCCCCGCCGCATCCCCGGTCCCGGGTGGGGGCTCCCCGCAGGGTGGGGCGAGGTGGCGTTACCGACGGGGCCCGGGGGTCACAGAGGGATGGGGGGGTTCGGCTGCGGGCCGGGGAGGGGTTCCCCTCGGTCCCCGCATCACCTGCCGGGCCTCTGCAGCGCCGGGATGGGAAGGACAGACCTAAGAGTGGGAGAAATGTCCCCCGTGACAACCTTCCCTTCCAGCCACTTTCTCTTGCTCTGTGGAATCAGGAATGCCTCCTTCCCCCTCTCCCTGGCTCTCTCTGCAGCGATAGTCAAAAAAAGCCATATTCCCCTTGGTTTGGTAACACCTGGAGGTGCTGCTCCGCGGGCGAACCGGGATGCGGCTGGGTTTTAAAGATGTGGTTTAATGTATACATGTCATTTAGTTTTCGATTAGCAGAGGTATTTAGCCCTAAAGCTGCACTTGGTAAAAGGTCAGCTATCTCATGGATTAGTTGACATGGACAGCCTTTGGTAGAAAGCCAGAAAGAGGGACTTTGGGTGGACTTCAATTTGCCTTCCACGTTTTTTTCGTGGCTTATTCGATTGTGATTTTTATTGCAGAGTTTCATGTTCAGGCAGTTCTTGACACTGGCAAAGTTATGAAGCCCATAGAAGCAGATAGGTTCCCTCTCTGCTGAAGATTCTTTCTTTTAATTAGATACATTCCGAATCTAATTAATCCGAATGTTATTCAGACTTTGACTGTTATTCAGTCTTTGCTCCATGCAGCTGAAAAATTGGAGTGTAACAGGATCAGTAGGTGGAAAAAAATACTTAATGGTCTGGTCTGAGAAAGCCAGGGAGATGAAAGAACCAATTGTTGATCTATGAATGATTAATTCTTCTAATACCAGTGTTGTCCAGTGTAGCAGCGTGCAGCTCGCTCTGATGGTACGGATTTCTCCATCCACAGTCTGCAGGGAAGTTTTTGGTCAGAGATGTGCAGGTTTTGTGCCTTGTTCTTGATGTGTTTTGTTTTTTCTGGATAGGAAGAAGACCATAGGTGGAAATAGTAAGTGTGTGTGTGCTTGGTAAAATGTGCGTGTGGTGCAGACAGCTTCCTGCATCTTGGTAGTTATTTAAAAAAAAAAAAAAAAAGTCTTTCTTGGTTGTTTTATTCATTTGTTGGATCAAGGCACATCTGTGTTCTGTCTCTTTGCTCTTTTAAACTGCAGCGTGTTGCAAGCCTGGAGTTGTAACTCATCGTTAGGAAACTCCTTATGTATTATTTGGTTTTAAATTTTGTTGGTTTTGATCTGGGACTGTTGTTGGGGCAACGTCGCATTTTCCAATGGGCAAGCTGTCTTTAATTCTGAAAAAGAGCAAACAACTTTGGGTTTCCTTTTTGTGCCTCATGTCTTGCCCCCTTTTATGCATAGAATCGGAGAAGGAAGTTTTCCGTGAGGAGACTGGGACAATAAATGTCTGTAGACACAAAACAACTGGAGATACTTTGGGTAAAACAGTTTTTTGAAGTGCTCTTTGCAGGTCTGTTGCCCTGGAGGCATGTTCACTGAAGGTCTTTTGGTCAAAGATGGCAGACTGATTACTAAATGTAATAAGATGATACCGTGTTCCTGAAATTTTATTTCCTGTTAAACTAGCTATTGTGTTTTTGTTGTTGGGTTGTTTGGGGTTGTGTGGCATACACGTATTTGCAGGTGAGATGCTGGGGTAGAAAGAAACCTTCACAACAGAGAAGAACTCCAATGATATTTTTATCATTTTACTATGGTGATCTTTACAATGAAAGAACAATAGTCTGGTTATCTGTATCATGAAGAGAAAATGCTGGAAGCTGGTTCCTTAGTGTTCCTGTAAGTCATAAAGTATTTCCAAGCGTTTCTCAAATGGGTAGTGTTGCCAAATGTACCTTTTTTATTTTTTTTTTGAATAAGTGATGACAGAGACTGATGCGCTGAAAGGAAATCTATTTTGACACTTCAGATTTATGTTTCTTGCTGTTCTTCTAGTGAGAGCCCCTTCCATTCATCTCGGTACGTGTGACAGTGACAGTCAGGCTCTCAAAGTGCAAATTTGTGTCCCTACCAGGAGTTTACCTTATGAGTGGTGCTTTCGAGGACTGTAACAAATCACGACGTGCAGTGTCTGAGTTAATGTGGTTCATGTGGCAGTCGCCTTCATGCTCAAATCCATGGAAATTCATAAAACGTTTTATTCTTTGGAGTGGGTAAAGCTGCTTGAATAAAACAAGAACTTTTAGAACCTTTAATGGGCTGTGGGCTGGTTAAGCTTTTAAGAGAAGAGTGGGGGCTGTCGCAGGCCCCATTTCGGGCGGTGTGAGAGCAAGAAAGAAAAAGACAGAGGTATGTCAAATCTTGAAGAGTGATTTAACTGGAAGTTTTAGTGCTAGTGGAACTGTTTGAAGTTTGCCAGTCTTACATACTTCATAAGGAAATATTTGTCAAATCTGCCTTCAAGATCATGCTTTTGAATTGTCTCTTATAATTCAAGTGCAATACCCAATCCAGCAGCGGTTTTTCAAAGAGCAGTTGGAGGAATTCTACTTCAGTAGGAATGGCTTTTATAGCAAGATTTTACCTCTGCATCACTGGTACCTTGTCATAAAAATCTCAATTTCTGTAATATTTCACAACTGTTTTTGAAGTAGTATCTGAAAGAGAAGGGAATTTTGAAAGAGGTTTGAGTAGGAGGAATTTAGCAAGTTACTTGTTCTGGAGAATTATAGTGGTGAACTTCCCTTTCTTCCTTTTTTTTTTTAAAATCCCAACATTTCTAAGAAGGTGATGGCTTCTGTAAAAATCCACACATACGCAGAATCACCTCTCTGAATATTGTTCATCAGAATGCTTTTTTTCCTTTTTTTTTTTTTTTGTTTTGTTTTGTTTGTAGAGACTCATGGTAATGAAGAACACCTAACTGATTTTTTTTTTACTTCTGTTTTTTTTTGGAGAAGGAGCAAGAGGATAATTGTAACGTACAGAGATTACTGTCTGGTTTTGATGATTTATTGCTAAGGGGGAACTTCAACATTTTTCAGTGCTTTAAGAAGATGCGGATTTAAGACTTGTGGATTCCCAGCTCTATCTGTTTGCCATCAAGATATTTTTTTTACGACAGTAAGGAAAGGCGGTAGGAACCGTGGTGTATCAGGTGCTGTATCACATCTGCAGATAAACTGGTGTCTGTGCAGCTGTGTGAGCATCCTGGTGTATGCAGCCTTTAAATCCTGGCTGGCTGGACTGGCCGTAGTCTGGACTCCACTTACTCTTCCCGGTCACAGAGTCAGACCCCGCTGTTGGTTTAACTGGAGAAAAACCAGCATGTGCTGATGTGCTCATCAAATGGGATTTCTCTGCTTGAAGCGTGGTATCTGTAGGGAGCTTTTCCAAGTATGGAGCCGTAGGGAGGGGGCAAAGGGGATATCTTCCCACAAATACGATGGCATAAAGCAAAGCTGATACCCTGGAATGAAATTGGCCAAAAGGCTGCTCTTGAAATAGAGACTGGATGGAGAGTTCCTCAGTCCTGGGACATTTGAAGAAAAGACATTTCTTAATGATTAGGCCTTCCCTTGTCTCGTCCTTCCCTCTCCCCACTCCCCCTCCCCCAAAAAAATCTGTTCCCCCCCCCTTGTAAACTCCTGCTAATGTCACTGGATGATTTTTCATTGCTAGCTCAGATAATGTCATCCTGTGCAACTGTGCATCACTGATAACCCTCTTCAGTCCTCTTCATAATGGGCCAATCATGTTAATTTTTTGCTGCATAATGCACAGGCTCCTAAGAATGAACTACTTTTTAAAAAGCCATTTATTTGTTCATTTACATTTTTTTTCCCCGCACTTTTTTGAAACTGGCATAAGGGAGTCTCTGAAATGAGATTAGTTAGTGTTTGTGTATCTCTGTCTACTGGATTTTATAAGAATGATGAGATTTTAGCAAAATACAGGAAAGTTTTACAATGTCTGCCCCATATACCTAATGAAATTTTGCTGAAAGGGAATACTGGTGCTTTCAGGAGCTGGGGCATGATGGGTTGCACGTTGTGAAGGAACTGACCTACATTCACAAAAGTCTAGATATAAGCACTTGAGAAGCAAATTAAAGATCTAATACGTTGCACGCAGACATTCCTGCTAACACCTGGATTGTAAAAGGATAGCTCTTCTCTAAAAAAAAAATAAATAGTCTATCTGGTCTACTGAAAAGTCTCTTTCAAAAATTTTCTTGTTCCCTTAGCCAGAGTTCCTGCGCAGAGGTGATCTCTGTGTGCTCTTCAGTAACCCAGGTTAACATTACCTTCCTCAGCGTTTGTCCCAGGTCACGTATCAAGATACCACTGCAATCTCGTGCATCAAAAACCTAAAAATAGAGCCTGCTGTGGCCTACATCACTGAACTTGGTCCCGTACTGCATGCTGCTGGGGATGCACACCTCACAGCTTGCTTTTTTCCCTCCTCTGTCGGCTTCATCTGTTTATCCTGTGCTGCGCCCTGCTTCTCAAAGAGGCACCATCGTGTTTTACAAAGCCTTCCTAAAGCCTCACTTGCACATTATTCGCATCAAATCAGTAAACCTGCACCCTTTATGAAGTCAGTATTTTCATATTTACCTGTAGAAGCTTTCGGATACACACACGCTAAGACTAATCATATTTGAACTTGCTTCTGACAAATGTTATTAGTGCACTGCCATCTGATTAAGATTTTCTGTGAAAGTGAGTTACACAAGATCAGCAGTCTCGGC